ACTCCCAGATTTTCTTATACTTGAAAAGACTTAGACCCATTGAGTCATAGCCTATAAATAAACAAATAATCAAACTCAAACCTAAAATTATAGGCCTACAAGGCATAGCCTATAAATGCACATTCACTCATTAGCTGATATGTGAACAGACCTGTTATTTCATTGGATCGCCTGACTACGATGAGTTGGTACAACTGGCACATATAAAGCTAAACGCAGATCAGACTTATTTTCATCGGTTTGAGTGTCAAAGGATCAGTTTTGATTTTAAAAGCATAAAAAATTCGGTATGAATTTTATGGAGTGCGCCATTTTTATGCTTTGTTTGGTCGGCTTCGGTAAGCCCCTGCTATTAATGACCCCTTTATGCATTTATTTATTCGTAATCCTGATGAAAAAGTTAATAGAACTTTATTTTTATCTCTCGCTTGAAACGTAACATGGCTCTTAACTCAGGCACGCCGAAGACACTAAAGATTTTATCATTAGCTACCTGTATGCTTATAGTGATGATAGTTTAGCATATTCATTGATTATAAAAGGTCCCCATACTTTGCCGCAATAATGGCTGTCAACAATCTAGCAATAAACCCTAATCAACATGTTAAACAGCAACATGACTTCAATCTGGGGCGATAGCATAAAATTAACAAATTGGTTGCTTCTGGTGCGTATAAGATTCTGACCTCGCTACGATAGGGGGGTAAGGAAGTATACCAATCTTCTTAGAATTTTAATAATATTCTCATTTTATATGCCGGTTTGCGTCATGAAGATTTCGGGAACTATGTGCTCCAAAATGAACTTAATTATGAAATTTGCTTTTACAATTATGTGTCCTCTTTGGTTGTAGCAATGTCCCAACCTAAAAACTTGGCCAGCGTATCTACTCAAAACTCAATTACGATAACATATAATCCTGCGGATACTGGCTCGGATAGTTACAAAGTCGCCATTAGGCCAGGCGACGAGGTGCCCCAACAAGTGACCACTGCCACCAACGAGAAAACACACACCTTCAATGACCTGATGCCTTGTGCTACGTACACTGTTGCTGTGGTGTCAGTTCGTAATGGCAGAGACTCCGCTCCAGAATCGATTAATGTCAAAACAAGTATGCTGATATTTTTTTGACAATTTTAGGGTTTATTTTCTCCTATATGCTATCCGGTGAAACTATAGTAATTATTTTTTTATATGTACTTTCATGTTAATTAACGTGGAATAATTGAATTGAAGTTAGAACTGTCGATTTTAGTTTTAAAGCTTTTAGTGCTCCATCCTACGAATCTGAGATGAGACTTTATATTTCCTCAAGCCTGATAGACATTATCAGAATGATGGTTTCTCGCTTGAAATTTTTAGGGCAGTCTTAACGTAAGCTCAAACCAGATTTATCTAGACCGAAGTAGGATTTTCACGCTTTACCTAATGGTCTTAAACCCGAATAGGCTAGTTTAAAAATTCCTTTAACACAATTCGCCATTCAGAATGCAATGAAATCTAGTAAGAGAATCTCCGAAAGATAGCTTTTCATTATAAATGTTA